TGGACGCTTCAGCACCGAAGAAGAAGTAGATTATGTCGTTGCCGAAACCGTGAAAACGGTTCAGCGTTTACGGGAGCTCAGGTGCGACCTCTTCGGTTTGTTTCTCTTAAATTACTCACACGCGCGTCCAAAGTCCTTTGTGGGAGATGGTGCAGGAAGGCATCGACCTGCAATCAATCAACTGGTCCCAGCATTGAGCTCACAGTTTCACTTTCACCAGGGTACAGCAGGGAGTATCTCGATATTTGGTGAGCCCTATGCATATGGCCGTCACTCTTTGTACAATACGAATCTCTATGCTCTGCTTCAATTGAGGATAATACCCAACTCATGCACCGTGACGTGACGTAAAATAACGAGAAAATGCAGGAAAGGTTACAGTCATGACACAAGAAAATATCGGTTGCTTTCCTGATCGATCTATTCTGTGTCAAAAAGGAAAAATGTCGCAACTCGGGTTCGAACCGAGGACCTACTGTGACCAACAGAATGTTAGACAGTTGTGATAACCAACTACACCATCGCGACTTCTTGATGAAGAAGGCGATACACATATATAAATTTAGATTTTGATTGCAAATCTCAAAATAGCGTTTTTTAATATATTCATTAATGAGAGAATAATGCTATAGATAAAGCTGGATCGAAAGGTGCTGCACGACGTCCTGACGAGAGTAGCTATGCGAGGAAGGACCAGATGCTATCATGATCTCTTCCATTCTACACGAGTAACGACCAACCAGGCGGCGAGGACTGTGGTAGCTTCGAAAACGAGGAATGGATATCTAGGTCCCAGTAATAAAGAAATAAGCACGACGAGACTAAAAAGCAATATTGTCATATTACTTCTCCAAGAACTGGCTTCACGTCTGAACGTCCTCCCCGATGCCGTAGCCTCGCCTAGGAGAATCCATGGCAAGATGACAATAACGTTGTGATCACCATCGAAAGGAACGGTATAACCCGCTGTCTGCAATGTACGGATCCATACGACTAGAATTGGCCCTGCAAACGGCAAAAGCCAGGTGAGGAGCAACAAGAAGTGAAAGTTTTGAGTGCGCTTGATATGCTCCTTTCGTAAGCCGTCTGGTGTGGGTGAGGATGAGATGGGACTATCTAGCTTGGTAGTGTTCAGAGACATTCCAGGAGTTCCACAGACCGATAGTTGGATCATAAACACGATCATAAAAGCCACCTGAAAAGGAACGACCACTGCAACTAGGAGTACAATTATGGCAATGGATAGGATCCACCGCTTCGAGGTGCGTTGTTCTCCACTGGAAATTGGTTAGATAGACGCGCAGGTGTAAGTAATGGCAACGCACCTTGGGCTCGAACGGGCGATTTTCTTCTGAATAGCGCTGAAGCAATATGTGATAATCAATAAAATATAAATGCTGGATATCACCAATCCACAGGCGAATAGCCACATGAAGAATGCTAGTGGTGCGAAAAGTGGGTTGCCGCTATTCCCCAAAAATAATTCCTTTGGGGTCGGAAACATAGAGAGGATCACTAAGGAGAGTCCAATGGTGGTGATCAGCCACCAAAAGAGGTCATGGACAATCACCCTGGCAGAAGGGAAGGCACCTGCACGTAAACATGAATACTCGTACAAAAAGCGCGGTTCTTATCGTACCTCTTGTATCATATTGATGCCAGGCCATGCCTTGGATAATGGCAACGACAGAAATGCTCCACATCGCCAGCCCCATCCAATATCTTACACCGAGCCTCCCTAATGTCTCGCGCCAAGCAATTCGTAAATGCAGATTTTCAATCCCACACTCTCCAGAGGAGTAGATGGTCAGTGTCGTGACATGATCATTGCTCTCTCGTTGACGCAGGAAAGGTCCGGTGCGATGTGAATGCAGATAAAAAGTCTCTGCTGCACTATGATAATGTACCTCATTCGGAGACGAGTGATGCATCACGAGAGGGGGTAAACGAAGCCCTAACAGTACTAAGTATAGTCAATGACAAGAAAGATATGAAAGACGTACCGAGACATTGGCCGGAGTATGCGGTATCTACCTTGTACACAAGTAGGGAATGCGAGAGAAGGTTTGGGAACTTGATTATTGTGCGCAATGATTTTGAGCGGGACGGTAAGGTAAGCGTGACACCAGAAGGCTTTATGGCATCTTCGGGTGCATAAGCAAACTGAGTTTTAAGAACGCAATAGACATACCTAACGTAGTTACGGTCAATTCAGGACTGTTATCGACTTCTACGCTGGCAACCACCCAGCCTGTGCTGTATCTATCGATCCAAACAGCAATATGGTCTTCCGAAGAAAGTGACGGAACCACCAAATCTGCTTCGAAGACAGAAATATGATCATCGTCATTCACTCCCTTGTCAGCAGGAAACGGACCGGGCCATTTCTGACGGGGCAAGTGCATTGTACGACCAGCAAGTTCTATACAATTTGGTTCAGTAGAGCTCGGAGGAGGTTTGGAGCAGTATAGTATCCGAATGGATGGGGTACGGTCGTTGGTCTTTAAAGCCAAAGGCTCTAAACCGTATGAAAAGAGAGTGAAGTGTAGAGGTTGCTGAGGCGGTAAGGGAATCATATGTATACCCGTCGCTGGGCTTCCGAGCTCTAATTTTCTAGTCTCACGCAAGTAGTTTAGCGTATTCCCTGTGATATTGACCCGGTCACGAGGAGGAGAAATCAAAAGAGGCCTAGAGCGGCCGATTTGATCGATGGAGACGTCGTCCGAACCTCCCTGTGAGAGAGAGAGGGCCAAACGCGCCACTATCGAACGTACTTGATGACACCAGACCATTTCGCGATGCCCAACTCCTGTCCAGGCATCTTGTAGCGATGTGGTCACAATAGTTCTACGGAGCGGGGTGGTACGTTCTGGGAGTGCACAAACTTCGGATGTGATTTGAGAGTCTGTCGCCCCGCCGCATATTGTGATCAGAGGAGTACTGGATGAGATATCACCAAGCTGAGCTGTTCTCGCATCGGAATAGACGAACTCTGCACGCCTGTCAAACCGGACTGGCGCCAGGTGACTGGGCGTGGACATTGTGATCACGGCGCGTAAATAGTGATCGTTGAGCTCGGTCATTAGCAGTTGGGAGACCAGTCCTCCCATAGAATGTCCCATAAGAATTACTTTTGTGTCTTTCGGATAAAGAGATATGATATAATGGATTGCTTGGGCCGAGTACCTTGCTTGGGTCAAAAGAGTCGGGGGATGGATGGCGGAGAAATCTTCATTGAACTCGACTAAATGAAGTCAGAAGAAGGGGGCTATGTTGAGGACTTGCACCCACCAGCGAAGAAATCCAACGGTTTTTTGTACAGTGTCTTATTGTCCTTTTGAAACTGGCGGGCTGCTGACGAAGCTATCGATCGTATCTGCCGAGAAGAGCCTGCATTTCCTGGAATAAACAGAACAGGTGTACCTCGGAGCTGGGACGGCGGGTCAGAGTCCGTCCATCGAGGGAAATTTGAAAACATACCACCGTCAAGTCGTCAACACCACTTTCCCTGTATAACCAGAGAGAGTATCGACTACTCAGAGGAGTCCAGGCGGCATTGAAATCTGACTGAAGAACATAATGCGGCCACATATACGACATTTCACAACCCTGGGGTGAGACAACCAGCGGAGAATGGTTGGCAAGATGGGAGAAATAATACATGAAGAAACATGCTGCTAGAGCGAGCAGCACCGAGCACGCCTGAGCCGCTCTCGAATGCATTCGTTGGTGGTGAGCGGGGTCAACGTGTGGACTTTACACCTTGGCCATGAGCCAATCCGTCCCAACATCACCAACGACGCCCGTACATCCATTTGCAAATACCAAAAGTCTCTTGACGGTTATCAGAGATGACCATGTCGATATGGAAGCAGAGACCGAATTCTTGGCCGGCTTTGAGGCACGTCATTTTGAATTCGTTCAGCGAGTTAGCAAGTCAACGAGTATATAGGACGACGATACAGTAGATTCAAGGTCAATTCCACCGTCTGTGGTATCCGTGGACGCTCGCTCTGTTATTTCACATGAAATATGGCTTGATGATCAAACATCGGGAGTGGCGTCACGGACTTTTGCTCGGAATGCTGTTATCACAGGGTTTGCAGCAAAGCCTCTCTCCTGTACTACTTTTACTCATGAAATTGCAGCTGGACTTGTGTCGGAGACCATCGAGCTGGTGCCTACGTTGGTAAGCAGCCGCGACCGTCGGCCGGTCGAAACTAAATAG